CCAATCCTATATATATACAATGTTTTGGAGCCCAAATTTTATACCCCGAATTTTGGATACAAACGAACGGACAGACAGATTGAAGGACAGACAGACGGATATTGTTAGCTTGAGTCAGCTCATTGTTCCGATCAAGACCCTGATCGGGTCGCAGGTGCTTTCTTTTGCCTGTCGCATACATTGGCTTAAATTATACACTCCTTTTAAAAACGTTCGGGCTATAACAACTGCAATAACAGCAACAAAATCCTCATCATCTTCATCTTTGTTATCATCTTGTGTAGCGTCGTTTTTTCATGGTTTGTTTTTCTATGATGATGATATTGTTTTTACTTGTTTTTTATCTCTTTTTCTATACGCACGAACAACAACAACATTTTCATCATCTTCATCTTTGATATCATCTTAAACATCTTTTGCTTTGGCTTGTTATTTTCCCATTTGAATATTTCGCGCAATTTCCGTTTGTTGTTGCCCCGTTACGTTTTTTTCATCTCATGATTCATTTGCATTCCAATCCTTTTGCGGGTGCGGGGGGGGCAGTTTGTTTGTCTGATTTGTCTGATTTTTATGCTTCAATCAAATCTGACCGTCAACACCGCCTGTCACCCCACACAGATGTCAACCCCTATGCAACCACCGCCCCGCCCCCTCAACAACAACCCTTTCCATTTTGTTAAGGGGGGGCGGGCGGCCCTAGTAACATCTAATTAACTTTTTTCTCTACCGCGCTGCAATTACAATTTCAACAGGACATTAACAGGACAACAAAACCAAAAAAAAAAAAATAATAATAATAATAAACATATCGCGAAAAGATAAAACCGAATACGGAATACCCTCAACTCGCGTTGTCCCCAAATATCAGACCATTGCGCGGCTGCACGCCCTGTGGCACAATCCCCTTTGCAAGGGTAGACGAGGCAAACAAAGAAAGAACTGTACGCCGAAGGTTGAATACCCTTGCTGACATATGGCTTTCGGATCTGAATTTTCAACCGATCGCTCCTATATGCCAGATTTTCTTTTGAAAAAATGTGAAACTAATAAATGCCGATATTTGTTCAAGTTTACTCGAAAAACAAACATTTTTTCATGCAAAAACCTACGTTTCGAACGATCGGTCCTATGGCAGCTATATAATATAATAGTAGTCCGATGCAGATTAGATTTTGCATATATGGAAAAAAGCAGAATAATAAACCCATTTTAAACAAGACCCTCATTTTCGACCGACTGTTCCTATATCAGCTATATGATATAAGAATCCGATGTTGATATGTTTTTGATTATATGTGAGAAGCATAGTTAAACTTATACGTGCCGAGTTTCGTCAAGATATCTTGCTAAAAAAAAAGTTGATCCTACAAGAACTAATTCCTCGACGAATTATAGTATAATATAGTGATGCGATTCGGCAGGTTGAAACATATGAACAATATTTAATGACCCTAAGAGACTTGACAGAGTGTTGGCTCTTGATCTGATCAAGATATTTATATTTATACTCTATAGGAACGGAGCTGTCTCCTTCTGTGTGTGTCACACATTACATGATAAAAAAAGTTATACCCTCCACAAGAGTATAAAAAGGACAACGGATAATGGTGCGACGACAGGAGTTGGTCACTGCACACACATACACAGACAAAGAAAGAGAGAGAGAGAGAGAGGGAGAGAGCAGAGGCGGTTGGGCGGGGCAGCGTATTCGACACGCAATCGAAATTAACTTCAAATATGAAATAATTTTTAGTGTTTTTTACGCGCGTTGCCAGCGTACAAGTGGGCGGCTGGTCGCAGAGGCGTGGCGCGAACGTCCAACTTATAATTGGAAAATAGCAGCGTATATCTGTGTGTGCGTGCGTGTGTGTGTACCTCTCTGTATTTGTTTGCCTTTTTCAGCCCTCTCCGAAGAGCGGCGAAATTTGTTGTAAAAAAAATATCATAATTACAAAGTTAATATCCTTTGGTGAAAGGATTAAATTGCTAGTTACGTTTAAGTGGACTGAGAGAGGGGGTAGCGGATGAATGGAGGGTGTTTGGTTAGACAACTGCCATAGGAACTAGCTGAACTGATTGAGCGAGCAACTCACCCTTGCAGGACTTATCATGAAGTTCGCGATCCTCCTCGAGCAGCGACTGAAACTTGTGCTGCAAATTGGATGCTGCCTCCTGAACGGTGCGCGCCTCCGCATCCCGCGGCATTAGGGCCTGCAAATAGGCATACATATCGCCCTGCATAATGCGAATTCGTTTGCTCTCCAAATGGCGAACAAACTGCGCCTCGCTGGGCGCCAGAAAGAGTACAGCCCGACCGCGTCGGCCCGCACGCGCTGTGCGACCCACACGATGCACAAAGTCGGCGGTGGTCTGCGGTGGTGTATACTGCACCACCAGCTTTATGTCGGGCACATCGATGCCGCGGCCAACGACATCGGTGGCGAGCAGCACACAGCTGGCGCAGTCGCGGAAGCCGCGAAATACGCCCTGGCGTTCCGTTTGCGTCATGGAACCATTGAGTCTGCAAAACAGAAACGGATAGACATTAAATAAGGATCTCTGTTTGTGTAGCCAAGGTTTTGCACTCACTTGAAGAATCGCAGCCCCTGGAGCAAGGGCCTTTCGGCATCGTCGTCATCATCAGCCTCTGGCTCCTCTTTGGCCAGTTGCTCATCATCCTCGTCGAGGACGCGACGTGTAAGCGCCTCGTTGAGCACATCGTGATGAAAGTTTACCATTTCCGTGGTGCTCATAAAGACAATGGCCTTGAATTGCTTGGGACTGGCAGCCAGCTCCTTGGCGAGCAGCGCTGAAATGGTGACCAGGCGCAGTTTGGGCGGCACCACCACATAGCTGAGCTGGAGATTCTCTGGTATGCTCAGCACGCCCGTCACATCCTCCACGTACTCACCGAGGCCGTCGTCCTGTAGCGCCTCGATGGTTTCCTTCTGATAGCCATTGGTGCCTTTTAGCGCCGCATCAGCTGCCTCATCGCTATTGTCTATGTAGAGCGGTTCTTTGAGCGTCAGACCGGCCAGCTGCTGCACCTGGGCGGTCAGCGTGGCGCTGAGCAGCAGACGCTGCATGGCAACCGGCGGTTGTTGTGGCTCCTCGGCGCGATGTTTGTCAATGGCCTCCACAAGCTGCTTAACATCACGCTCGTAGCCCAGTTCGAGCAGGCGATCCGCCTCGTCCAGCACGAGAAACTGCAGCTTGGAGAGCTTAAAAGAGGCTGTGTGTAGTAGATGATCCACCAGGCGACCAGGTGTACCCAGCAGCACATTAATGCCCTTACGCAGGCGCGCCTTCTCGCTCTTGCGACTCTCACCGCCGAGTAGAGCGCCGGGCACAATCCATGTGTATGGCTTAACCAGCTTCTGGAATAGCTCGTACGTCTGCACGGCCAGCTCACGTGTGGGCACAATGATAAGTGCCAGAACGCCATCGGTGCGCTTTATGCGTGGCAGCTGCGCCTGCAGGCGTTCGACCACGGGCAGCGCATAGGCCAGCGTCTTGCCGGAACCGGTCTGTGAGCGCACCAGCACATCTTTGCCGGCCAGCACCTCGGGTATAGTCTTCTGCTGTACTGTTGTCAATTGGCTAATGCTCAGCAGATCCAACAGATTCTTAACCGCATGCGCATGCAGACCCAAGCTTTCCACCTTGGTGCCGGCAAATATGGTTTCCTTAACGGGCTTGACCGCACGCTGGCCCAGCTGCTTGAGTGCCGCCACATCGCTCTGATCGAACAGGCCAATTTTTTTGGTGCGAAACTTATTGGCTACCTGTGGGGCATTCTTTTGCGTCTCTGGCGGCGTCTGCTCTGCAGCGGATGTCTCAACAATTGGCTGCTCAGCGGCGCGCTTAAGCCTGCGCTCCTCGTCCAATTGTGCCTTGAACAGATCGCCTGCGCGCGGCAATTTGTTGGGATTCTCCATACGCTGCTGTCCCTTAAGAGCTGTACGCAACTGCTGCTTACTAATGCCGACGCCAGATTTGCCCAGCGTGGCCGGCAGTTCTATGGAAGCCTCCTTCAGGTGCTGCTGTTTGCTTTTATTGTCATCTACAGCGTGGGCTGTGTACACATTGAGCATCAGATCGCATTGAGGCTGTTCTGTGGATGCCACTTTCGACTGCTGCGCCTGCTGCTGTCTCTTGTTGCCATTCTCATCCTTCGCTGCGCTCCCATTAAGATTTGGTTCGCTGGCGGGCGCAAGTGCGACTTTGGGCTGGGGCGTTGTCTTGGACTTGACTGGTGGCTCCTTTGACACTGGAGCACGACGCCGCACCACAAGCGCCTTTACCTTAGGCTTATCCACATTGAACTGAAAGTCGAATTCCGCACCCGCAGCACGTTTTTGTTTGCGCAGCGGCTTTTGTGTTGGCGCCGCCACCTGTCGAGCATCATATGTGAATATGTGGCCTTGGTTTATATATTTCTTTTCACTCACCTTTTTTGCAGTATTGGGCGTCGGTTTTGTACATATATTAAACATTATATTATCCATTTTCGTGCATTTATGTGCAAATCAACTTCTTAGTAGAAAAACGTGCGCGCTTTTTTACAGGCACGCATTGAAAAAAACAGCTGATTGGCTAGCAAGCAGTGCTACATGTGAGCAAGTAGTGCAAAAATACTGCCTGCCAACATAGTGGCAACGCTGAATAGTGTAGCCAACGAGTTGCATGTGTAACAAAATGTATAATAAGCGCGCCTTTTCAAAATAAAACAAATTCTAAGGTAAAGTCAGTACGAGAATGGTTTTGCTATATATTCTTAAATGTAGGCAAATTAACTGACACTCTTACATTTAAGTTGTACAGCTGCTAGATATATTTTAAGATTGCAACAAGTGCAAGCAAAAATACTGTCCGGCTTGACAAACTGGCAACGCCGTCGTGTGTAGCCAGTGAGTTTCCAGTGTAGCATAATTTCGAATTGGCGCGCGATTTGAAAAAAAATTCTTAGAGTAAAACCCTCATGAAAATTGTTTTTGCTATATATTAATATATCTTGGCAAATTTAATAACATTGTTTTTAAGTTATACAGCTTGCGGCTCTTTTCTATGATTACAACAAGTTCTTGATTACACGGAAAAAAAATTTGTAACGAGCTGCCTATGGCAGCCGTCTGTGCCATGCATTATTTGTATGTGTATGCGCTTGTGGGTGTTTGCTTTAAATGGTGGGTTATGTTTTCCTTTTGGGTTAACCCCAACTGCGAGCACCACAAATGTCAACAACAGTCCAGTTCATGATGGTGACCGCTGACTCCGCTGGTTCGTGCTCGGGCTCGGGCTCGCGCTGTGGCTGGGGCTCTGACTGTGGTCCTGGGCCGGGATCGGTTGGGGCTGACGCAGTTGCGCCTGCTGCTTGGGGCGTTGCTGCCATGGCCGCTGTGATTGACAAGGCCTGCGCTTCGCCTACATCCACATCGACATCCACATCCATTTGGATGATGCAGTGCGTAGCCGCTGGCAAACCACACTCACCGGCTGCATACATTAACTATGCTGTCACGTAATATTCGCGCTGACGTTTCTGACACTTCTCTCGTGCAATGTAGCACAATGCAATCGTTATAAGGAGTGCGATAGTCACGCCCATGCCAATGCTGACCCACATAATTTCCTCGTTAATGCCCACATACGAACGCCCTGAGGCCAAGCGTGAGCGTGTGTGCAAAAGAGACAGAGAGAGAGAGAGAGAAAGAGATTGTATACGCATATTAACCCAATTAAATTAAAATTTAAGAACCCTGTAGCCATCCAGCAATGTTGGCTACAAATTAATTAAAATGCATGTTATTCGATTACGGACGCAATTGATGCGCACATTAATTGTATAACCAGCTGCTGGACTGCCGAATGCATATAAAATTTTAATTTGTAAAAAAAATAAAATAATAATTTAAGATGGATACAAACCATTGTAATAGTGATTGGAGTAGCCGGCTTTACCGGCCACCCGACCCGCTGGCATATTGTGTACTTTTTGGTGCGTCTCCTTGCTGCCAAAAACTTGTATAGAATTGTAATAAATCAAGAACAAATGCAGCTCGTTTTGTCTTTTGCTTCTTGGCAGCTGTGCCAAGCAAAGTTTTGCTGTCTTCCGCCTCGCTGGACGCTTCTTTAATCACAATTTATATCCAGCTGCATTGCGGCCTTGGCTTAATTTTGCATTGTTTCTCCTGCCAAAAGGCAACTGATTGCCACTGTTTTCGACTGTAGAAAGAAATAAAGATAAAAAGTCGTATATTGAAATCAAGGCAAGCTGAGAAATTCAATTCAGTTTAAGGCCGTAGCTGCTTAAATTATTGTTCAGTTGAACGCAAATTGCAGTTGTTTTCAGCACTTTTAAATAAAGACAAACAAAAATAGATGTAATTCATTTAAATTATATTTACATTGCATTAACCTATTAGCTAAATTTCCAATTCAAATTCCAATTTGAATTCAAATTAAGAAGGCGCGCAGAGCTTGCGCCGCTGTTAACCACTGCGCGTTAACCAACACTGCACGAACAGCTGTTCGTGTATGTGTCACCAAAATTTGAGCAAGTTTTCGCCGTGTTTTATTTTTGTCACTGCTGCCGTCTGCTGGATTAGCTTCTCGTGCATATGGACGAGCAGAAGGTAATGGAGCAAAACATGGAGCACTTGGCCATCGCCATGCCGGCGTCTCCAACGCCGCGCCAACCTAGCCTGGAAGAGGAAGCAGAAGTCGGCAAAGATGCGGCATCTGGCCAACAGCTGAGTGAATTTACCGCCACAAACAGTTGCACCTGTGGCTGCCGTAAGTTCATGCATATATTCCGCTTTTAAAAATATGTCCAACAACTCGAAGCTTTGTCCTTGCAAACAACATACACTTGATGGCTCGCTTCCCGCTTCCAGGCGATGTTGAGGCCTAGTACCAAGGCGATACCCAACACTTCTCATTGGAGCTGTGCTTGGGCATCGTTTGGGCAATGCGTCTGCAGTTGTGTCCCGTCTTTAAAGCGTGGCAAGACAACAGCGGCAGCTTGTCCGGTGACACGTTCCCAAAGGGAATGCCATGTTGAAACTTGCGTAAGGCTTTGCATAGGTTCGTCATTCTGTTGTGGGGCGATTACATTGATCGGTCCAAAATTAAGTATCTGTATGAAGAACTATTTGTCAAGATATCTTGACCAAACTAAGCAATTACAAGCTGCATTATGCTGCTCGAATATCACGCGAGAGTTTCGACATATCGAATTGTATTTTTTTAGCAACAACTTTTTAGTTTAACAAAATATCTACAACAAACTTGACAATCAAGTGCTACACAAAATCCTAAAATCTTTCTGTCTGTATTGGAACAATCTGTCGGAAATAAAGTGTGTTTTCTGGTCTCACACTCATTTCTAACATCACGAGCGCGCGGCTATCTGCGGAAATTGATATACATACTTATATATATTGTTGTATTAGTCATAAGTTTGCACAATTGATTGTATATTGCTGATAACAAATATATATTTAGGTCACGTTTACTTTCAACTGCAAAATTCCATATCGTTTTCAGTTTTAAAGTCATTTCATATATATATATATATATGTATATATGCAATATGTATGTAGATTCTCCCTTCCAATTGCAATGTTCTCCTGTTTTTTATACAGAAAGGGGCTGCAATCAAAAGTGGCCGACCAGAGGATACCCTGTTCCTAGCCCCCTGCGGACGCAACATCAATTCGAGCTTCCTTTAATGGAATATGCCTCTCCTTAATACCAGGCTAGCCTCTAGAACTACCTGACAAATCACATATTAACTACCTACTAGCCTGAAATAGATTCTAGGCTCTTGGAGGAAAGCCTGGCTTATGTGCAGAGTAAAAAGTCTGTCCATCTGTCCACTAATCTCCGACTTGGCCCTCTATCAGCAGGTCTCTAGCCCCCAGATCTAGATTTTCATAATTATGAACGTGGTAAAGTTTCAAGATTCAGACAGCCATGTTATATCTATAGGTTATTGCACAAAACCAAACGACTATTTGTTCGTTTTTTGAACAGTGTAGAAAGCGATGTGTGCCGCCCCAAACTCTCATTAGTATTCCCGATGTGCCACTGTAAAATCCATATCCTTGCCGCAATGATAGATTTAAGTTCCGGTCAAACGCCTCGTTGCCTTCCGTAAGCGCACAAATTGCACAAAACGTCAGTCCAACTGCGCCTGATACCACCCAAGCACCCAGCCACCCAACCCTAACCCTGGCAATTCCCACCCCCTCAAACGGCCGTCCATTGAAGCTCTGAATGCGAAAAACTTTTGCCACAACAGGAAGCGGCAGGACATTACTGGTGATGCTCCTGCTGTTGCAGTTTCTGCTGTTGCGTTGCCCATTACCAACTGCAATGGAAATGCTCGGGTGCTTAGGTGGGTGGTGGAAGGGGTGGGGGGGGGGGGGGGGGGGGCAAGGGGCTTGGAGTCTGTACGCTGACCGCATGAATTATTCACATAATCCAAATGAAAATTTTCGTGTGTGCGCCCGTAGAAATCGAGGTTGGATAAATGATAAGACGATATCGTTTTGTCTGCTTTAGATTATGCTTACTGCGCATTTAAGCGCATTCAGTCCAGGGACCAGATCTTAAATCGAATACTCAAAGCCCCGATAATATGATATAAATTATGGCGCATGCATGAGTTATTGTTATTGAAAAATAATTTAAGAGCATAAGTGTCGCTTGGAATGAATTATTATTATTATGCCAAATATTAGTTTTATATGTGAGATGTGAACATTTATAAAAGAAATAAAAAAAAAAAAAAAGAGTAAGTGCAAAAAGGGAGGATAGTTAAGGATGAATGTGAGAGTGAAATGTAGAGAAAGATTCAAACTTCATTTAAAAAATATATTTTGTACACATTTTGCTGTCAATTACAAAATTAGTTTTGCATACCTTTGAATAGGGTATTATAATTTTGTCATGAAATATGTAGAGAGTAGAGTATATATATATTCTTGATCAGCATATATCTATTGATCAGCCGAGTTGATATAGCCATCTGCATGTTTCTAGTCTTTCAGTTTTGTAGCTATCTTCTTGAATCTTTGCATATGTCGGACCGGAGCGGGCCACTTTATCATATCGCTGTCAAATATTCTCTCTTTTTTTTTTAAATATTTACATCAAATTCAGCATTTACCAACTTCATTATTTTTAAATATCTGCAAAACCGTAAGGCAAGGATATTCTTACTTTCTCGTTTTGTTTAGTTTATATACTAATTATAATCACATAGACTAGCCCTTCACATTTTGAACATTTGTGCGAGTACATTAAAATTTGTTGTATAAAAGTACATTAAAAAGTTGGAAAAACAATTTTAAGGAATCAATAAAAGTAGCGCAACTCGGTTAAACAATTTGAATTTACTCGCCCGGAATCGCATATTTTCCGATTTTCTGCAAGTGATAAAAAATAAGTATATGCAATTAAATCTTAACAAAACGAGCTTAACCTTAGATCGGTCTGTTAATTATTGAGCCAAGTCAATTGAAGGTACGGTTCATGGTAAATGCAAAATTTGAATTCCGTTTTTATAGATGCGGGAAAAAGAAGAATAAAATGCACATGGGGGCGGGTATTAACATTGGGCGCAATAATCGTACAAGGTCGACCTTAAAAGCTCTCATCTAATGCGGATGCCACGTACGATAAAAGAAAACGCGTGCAGGGCGGCCTCGTAGCCGACTCTGATAAATGCAAGCCAGCCAGTCGCCGCTGGAGTCATTTCGCAACAGGCAACAGCTGCATGAACAGCATCCGCTGCTGTTGCCCACATGCGACCCGAATTAACAGCCGCAATTGCAGCTCAGCTGGAGGCAGAGCCAATTCTGGACAATGTGCAGTTGCTGGGTTTTATGGTGCGCAGCCGTAACATTGACTGGAAGCGCTACGTCCAACCTTTGGATACCGAAGTGCGCGGCGATGCGGTCTACTTGGAGAGGCAATCCGATTTTCTGAGCAACCATCGGCGTACGCTGAATAACAACAGTCGACGCGAGCTGCTTGTCTGCCACGACATGATGGGCAACTATTTGACAGATCGGTGAGTGAGTTTTATGCGACATACGATTAGCAGTTAATTTATCCCATTTTTGGACAGGCACTACCACAGCTCGGAAAAGTACGATGACTATCGATTTATGCACTGGTCGGCTGTGGATTATTTTTGCTACTTCAGCCACAAATATGTGACAATACCGCCCAGTGGCTGGCTGAATGCCGCCCATCGACATGGCGTGCCCGTGCTGGGCACCTATATAGCCGAGGGCCACTCGGGCAAACAGCTACTGCACGAAATCCTCGTTAGCGCGGAGAGCGTGCAACGTACTGTGGCAGCCATGACACGGCTCTGCCTGCACTTTGGCTTCGAGGGCTGGCTGGTGAATGTGGAGTGTCCGGTGCGTGCCGAGGCCATGCCCAATCTTTAGTGAGTAACGCATTCCGATTGTGAAGTTTCCATCACTGAATCTGGCCTCGTTCGCAACAGCCTCTTTGTGGAGGAGCTGCGTCAGGCGACCGAGCGGCAGGTGCCGCATGGACGCGTTATTTGGTACGATAGCGTCATCGACAATGGCGAACTGTCCTGGCAGAACGAGCTAAATGAGCGCAATGTGCAATTCTTTCGCGCCAGTCATGGCACTCTGATCAACTACACCTGGAACGATCGCAGTCTGGACACGAGCGAGGCATCCATACAGCGTGAGAAGGCAGCACCGCATCGTTTGTTTCTGGGACTCGATGTGTTTGGGCGCGGCCAATTGGGACGCTTTCAGAGCTCTCATACTCTGGCTAGAATTGCGGCACGCGGCTTCTCGGCGGGCATATTTGCGCCTGCCTGGTGCTTTGAGACGCTGCAGCAATATGGCTACAATATACGCAACAACAGCGGCGATGAGTCTGTTAATGCCGCCTTTCTGGCCAGAAACGAGCGCTGGTGGGCACGACTTTGGCCTTCCCTAGGCACCCATCCATACCGTTCGCTGCCCTTCTACTCGAACTTCTGCGTGGGATCGGGCCGCACCAGTTTCGAGTGCGGCGTACGCCAGCTTGCGGCACGTCCCTTTTTTAATCTGGCGCGCCAGGCCCTGCAACCGTCGGTGCCGTTGGGCGACAATGCGGAGCACAGCTTCGACACCGCCTACGCTGGGGGCTGTGCCCTGCGTATTATTAATTATGAACGTGCCTTT